TTCTCACATGTATACGCGTGTGCTTTTTAATTTCTGTGAATTCCTTGCATTTTGTGGTTGTGGTGTGGTCGCCCTGGACCTGCTACCCAGGCAGGAGTCATGGGTGACATACCACGTGATCATACACGCAAGAGACAAGACATGGACTCCCTGGATGGGTACAGGGGCCCCCTCCTGGCAACCTGACTGCACCCCACAGGTCTTTACCTCCACTTGGCTGTCCCAGTCTAGGGAGCTGTTGATAACAACACCAGGAAGATCAGGCCAGACCTGCAGGAGGAAAAGGGAAGAGACTATTGAAAAGGCTATGCACTCCATGATTCCTTTATTTCTCGTAGGAAACTATAAACCCCAGAGGTAATAATAACAGTTGGCTTTTCAAGGAGAGTCACATGGAGGAAAATGGGTCCCACAGCATATCTGCATTCCTTAAAAAGTCCTTAATGATTAATGGAAATCGGAATTACAGGGAAGAAGTGGGATATGTGCATTACGTTGTGGCTACATTGTGGACTAGTGCTGCGGGGGGACTGTAGATGAATGAGAAAATAAAAATTAATTTGCTTTGGAAACTTTCATTCAAATCATATTAGAAAAGGGGAAAAGAAGTTTTTTGTAGGGAATAAAGTCCTTCACTGTTGGCCGGCAGATCTTATGGTGAGGAGCTTTTAAAGCATTAGAGCCTAAAGCAGAGTTTCTAAATCAATGTGCACGAGAGCAGGCTGGGATGGTGGGGACCACTGAGCCCTACCTTCCCCCAGACGATGTCCCCACTCGGGTCCTTGATGAAGACGTCCTCCGTCACTCCCCGGGTGAAGGCCGGGTAGGGTTGGGTCTCATTGCCAGAAATGGCGGGGTCCTGGAACCAAACGCAGGTCAGGTAGAGAGAGCACAGCCCGACGAAGGACAGAGCAAAGGAGAACCTCTCATAGACAATCCCGTTTCCACCTGGACTTAGGACTTCTGGGAATTCCGAGAATGTTATGAATTTACTACCAGCTAAAACCCCATCATGGAAGATTTTCTTCCCGTAGACATTCAAAGATTCTCCCCAGGTAAAGATGGCCCATGTCGCATCAGTACATGTGTGACACACGCTCACAGAAGATTAACCAATAACAGACAATTCATATCTATTTCCTTTATATACGATGCACATGCACACGACATGCTAGGCAGAGATGTCACATGTCCCTCAAACTTCCTGAGTGGCCCACATGCTCACAGAGGACTCACCAGGATGAGAATGACCCGCATCCCGTCGTTCTTCATGCGTGTGATCAGATCGGGAAACCCAGCAAACTTGGGGCTGAGGGTGAAGTCCAGCTGCCGCTCCATGTAGTCGATGTCAGAGTACTGCACGTCCTGCAAGGGCACAAGCACCATGGCCTCAGGTTTGCTACAGGTTTGGAGTAAGTCTTAACGCAGTTTTGCGTGAGAAGTATTTTGTAGCTCTGTGCCATCATCCTTTCGCATCAGGTTCATTCAAGCTCCGGGAGTTCACCGTATGACAGAGTCAAACTGTCCAGTGGGGTTTCCTAGACTGCAATCTTTACAACGGGGAACCTTGCTAGTGGAGTGCATAACAGAGAGGGTTGTTAAAGGAAAGATCAGAAGTTCAAGTCCACCAGCAATGGACAGCCTTTCCCCATCAAAACATATTGCCTCCAAAACCCACTAGGGGGTGACTGTGAGTCCAAATTCACTTAACAGCAGTGAGAACCAGCATGGAAGCATATTGGCACTTCTTTCTCCCAGAGCAGACTGTGGGTTAGAACCGCTGACCTTAGTGTTAGCTGCCAAGTACTCAACCACTGGGCCTCTCAAGAGTCCTTGGCAGCTTTTCAGCATCACGTATATACACACCCCCAAACAAATCCGAGAATGGCGATGACAGCAATCCACCATGTGTTCACTGGGCCAGCAAACCCCAGACTAGGACTTACATAGGGGATCCGGGCAGCCACCATGGCGTCGTACAAGTCAGAGATCTCAGAGTCATTTTGGTATCCATAGCGACACAGCTGAAACCCCAGGGACCAGTAAGGCACCATCACAGGCCGGCCGATCAGCTGGAAAACAGACAGAAATGCAGTCTTCCCATAGACTCACCAAATTGAGGTTGTATGTTTGTAATCAAGAAAGACAGGTTTGGGGAATTTGTTTGCCTGTTAGTGTCCTGAGCTAGGGAATCACAAATGCAAATCCAGACAGAACTAGAGAGGCTCTGAGGTACCGGGAAGCCAGGGAGGAGTTTCTGGCTAAGCTGGAGTTCCCTCTTGGACATTATTGAAAACCTCATTTTACCTGGATCCAAAGGGCAGCTGAGGTGACTGGCTAAAACACTAGCAGTAAAATGATTGAAGTAGCATACATATTGCTGCTCCTGCTGGCTATGGGAATTTGAATAAAAAGTTGGACAAGAATAAAGATGACAGATGCTCTGCACGAGGAGGGACAATCTCCTCCTATACCAGTCAGATCTAATTTGAC